AAAAAAAAAAAAAGCCAGAATGTTGGGAAGAGAACTGGGCTATTGGTCAGAAAGTCTGGATTTTATTCTTGGCTCTGCCTACCAGTGTGATCTCGGACAAACTAATCAATCTTTCTGTGACTCGATTTTCTGTTCTGTAAAATAAGAGGGTCGCTATACATGGTTAAGATCCAGTCTGTTCTAGAAGTTTGTGATTTTATAAAGAGGCATTCTATATGCTCTCTTGACAATAACTTTGAATCAGCTGGGCTTAGATATTTTTTTAAATTGCAACTAGAGAGAAAAACAAGAACCTTAAATTTCAGAATCCTTTTAAGCTTCACAGATGACTGAGTTTATAATTAGGTTTCAGGCTACTTATAATAAGCTGGAAGGACTTTTTCTTCCTCCTTATTTTCTTATAAACAAAAGAGAATTTAGTCAACTAACAAGAGAGATCACTAAGTTCTAGTGCAATATTTATATTTAAAGGAAGTTAGAAACTTATAAATTCTCACAATTAGAAAATTCACTTTTGTTTATCCAAACTGACTGTTTGCTCATTAATGGCGCTTAAAAATCTTGGATTTTATTTTATACAACTATGGTTTTAAAGAAACTCTCCATTTTGCTTAGTTCAATGTTTAGCAAAATTCCCATGTGCACCCATTGTAAAACTATCCTTATAGGAAAGGATTACATAAATCTTATTTGCCAGATTTTTCTCCCCAGGATTCAAGGAATGGAAATGTTAATTGGCTTTAGCATCCCTGGTTTTATTGATGCCACAAAATACTAAGCTAGGAAGGAATAAATTAATCTACCTATTCAACTGATTCTTCTGGAACTTCAGGTCTCCAGAAAGGGGAAGTAAAGTGATATAAAATACATAATTCTGGAAGGCACAGTAAACATAATAAACTCTGGTTCTAAAAACTTCTAATTCCTTTTCAGTAGACTAGAAAATTGGCGCCACTGGAATAATAGATAAAAATAACAGTATCATGAAAAAAAGATCCAGTGGTGCTGGTCATTAGCAAAGAATTCTTCGAAGAGGTGTCAGAAACAAAACTATAGCCTCTAGAATAAAGATCTGAAATGGAAAATTCTCAAGCTCTGGGGAGGAGCTTTTATTTATTTAATTTTTAATAAGATGTTTCAAGAAAACTTGAAATATATGAATTATATGGATATCATTTTACAAATCTAAAGGTACATTGTTATTTCAGAAACAAATTCATTTCACATAACAATTTTGACATACATTCCATGAGACAGAGAATTAAAAACCTAGGCAAAAATGGAAATTTTAATATGGAGAAAAGGGAAAGTCATTCTAAAAAAATTATTTTTTTTCTTCCTAATTTTTCTGCTCTTATCCACTATTTTATGAAGGCAATATAATAAGCATATAAATTTGGAGATAAAGGCTTGGATATGAATCTTAGCTCTGCAACTTACTGTGTGGTCTTACACAAGTTATGCCCTCTCTGTACCTCAGTTTCTACATTTATACAGAGAGTATAACAGTACTTACCTTGCAGAACTACTGTAAGAGTTAATAATAATAGTTCACATTTACTGAGTGCTAACTGTGCAAGGGAATATTCTCGGTACTAAACATACAATACTTCTTTAATCCTCACAACCAAAATATGTCTCTATACACAAATATACACAAATAGAAAACAACATTATCTCCTTTATTATCTTCTTTTACGGAGGATTTATTTTATTATATTTTACAGAGTAAACTAGAGATTAAGTAACTTGTCCAAAGTCACATAGCTAGAACCTGAACATGAAATCCAGAACTCTAGATTTAAGCCCAGAGGTACCATGTAAAGAGTAAAAGTTGAGACAGTTGATGATTAATATACAAATACTAGAAACAACAGAAACTTGGGACAAATGCAAAAAGACGTCTTTATTCACATATAGTTCTTTTGTCAGTAATCCTTCATTATGTCCCCAATTTAGACTGATTTCAACTGAACTGAGCTAAACAGCTCAGAACTGAATAATTTATCATATACCTTAATGCTTCTCATTAACTAATCCCAGCCCAGTCCCATAACTCCCGGAGGCATTTATTACGTAAAACTAGTGGCAGACAGGTGGTTAGGCCCTACTGTCCCTTCGCTATCCCTCAAGTACATGTAGACAAGGGCTTCTCAATCTCAGCACTATTGACATTTGAGGCTTCTTTGTGTATGGGGATGGGTCCTGTGCAGCACTGCCAAATGTCTCCAGAGATGGGAGTGGGGGGCACAAAAATCACCTCCAATTTGAGAACCACTGATATAGATCTAGTAATTAGGACAGGAAAATTTTTGGTTAAAATTGTCAGGTTTTAAGTCATTTCTTCAAAATATTTTCAATGAAAAAAGAGAATAGAAACATTTAAAAGATTCCATATCATCTCTTGTCAGCATTATAAATATCCTCTCCCTACTCTGGGAAACTTCCCTAGATGACTTTAACTCTTAATCGCTTCTCCTTCAGTGCCATTTGCCTTTGTTGCCCTTACTGTTCAATTAGCCCTTTAGAGAACATCCTAGTATTAATACTTGTCTGAAGTCTATCCGCCATCCTTAACTGTATTATAAACTCCTGGCAGACACAGACAATAACTAAGGATTCTTCTACTTTCCATGGCTCCCAGAATAGTGCAAAGTATACAGTGGGGATGTTGAAATGTCTACTGACCGCCTCAAAGGACTGTC